GTGCGTCGTCGTCCTCGTCGTCGTCGTCGGTCGTCAGCGGTCGCAGCCCCCGTCGGTGCCTGGCTCCTCGCCACCGGCTGGCCACCGGCGCCGTCCTCCCGCCAGGAGCCCTGGGCGCCGGCGTGGCCGCCGACGCCGACAGCGACGACCGATGCAGACGACGCCGACGACGACGACACCGACGACGATACCGACGACGACGACGCCGAAAACGACGACGACGCCGCCGACGACCACCGACGGCGACGATGACTTCCCCAACGACGACGACCAACCACCCTCCGCTGGCATCGACTACCCCGACGGTGACAACGACGACGTTCGAGGATAGAAGATGTTTTCCCGCAATCGGACCTCAAGGGATATCGGGATGGCCTTCTGAAGCCGTCCATGGACCTCTGGAAGCCTCCAGGAACTCTCGACAAAGACGACGGCGACGTCGTCGTCGTCGTTTTGGAGGCGTCTGGTCGGTTGTGCAGGAAAAGACAGCAATCGTCATGCAAAGGGCTCTGCAGGAGAAAAAACGACATCTAGCCTATATCAAAACCTAGCACGCAAGAGGTGATGCGAGGCCACAGGAAGTGCCAATACGTTCCGCCCAGGTAGGCACGTAGCCGAAATGCGCGGGATACAAAGGTGTGCAGGTAAGTGTGCAGGCCGCAAGACTGGTGTGAGCGTCAAACCACGGGGGGCCGCGAGTGCGCCACAAACAGAAACGCAGGCGCGCAACACACGGGAGAGAAGCGCAGAGGGAACGAGACGAGGCAGCAACGCCGAGGACGATCGACGGGAGGGCTAGGGCGGCAGGAGGTGGACCCCATCGCCGCTGCTGGCAACAGACTGTGGAGGGGGAGGCGGCAGGGCAAACGGGGAGGAGGGGAGGCTCTGGCCGAGGCGCGGCCGCGCGCCTCGGCCGGAGCCCACTCGGGCCCTGCGACGAGGCGGCACGGGCCCGAGGCCGAGGAGACGCAGGCCGACCAACTGCGCTCGACCCCAGGCCGGCGAGGCAGGCCAGGACCTGCAGCTCAGGGGACGGCACCGAGGGCGACGGACACGAGGCGACACCTCCGAGGACGACGAGCGGAGAGGCTGGGAGGCCGAGGCTCGCCGGCGCGCCGGGGGGGGGGGGCGGAGTGAGAGAAGGAACAGGCCTGCTCAGAAGGCGGCGGGGCCTCTCAGAAGCCCTCCGGCCCTCTGAGAAGCCTCCTGCGCCTTCGGGGAAGGCTGGCGGCGGGGCCTCTCAGAGGCCCTCCGGCCCTCTGAGAAGCCTCCTGCGCCTTCGGGGAGGCCTCGGCAAACTCCGCAGAAGGCCGCACGGCTTCCGAGCACTCTGAGAAGGCCTCCTGCGTCTTCGGCCCTCTGAGAAGCCTCCTGCGCCTTCGGGGAGTGCTGGCGGCGGGGCCTCTCAGAGGCCCTCCGGCCCTCTGAGAAGCCTCCTGCGCCTTCGGGGAGGCCTCGGCAAACTCCGCAGAAGGCCGCACGGCTTCCGAGCACTCTGAGGAGGCCTCCTGCGTCACCGGCTCCTCTGAGAAGCCTCCTGCGCCTTCGGGGAGGGCTCGGCATGACTCCGCAGAAGGCCGCACGGCTCCCGAGCACTCTGAGGAGGCCTCCTGCGTCTTCGGCCCTCTGAGCAGCCTCCTGCGCCTTCGGGGAGGGCTCGGCATGACTCCGCAGAAGGCCGCACGGCTGCCGAGCACTCCGAGGAGGCCCGCCCCGCCCACTTCCCGGCGCGGGGGATAAGCGCGGGCCCTCCGGGAACACCGGGCCCCCCGGACCCTGCTCCCGGAGCCGCTTCCCGAGGGCCTGCAGGGCCCCGGGGCCCTATCCTCCCGGAGCCGCTGTCTGACACGGCCCGGAGGCCCGTGGATAGGGCCCCCAGAGCCCGAGGAGAAGGACAGAAAGCTCGGGGCCCGGTCCCCTCGAGGGGACCGGGTCCTGATCAGGGCACGGGGGAGACGGGCCCTGATCAGGGCCCGTCTCCCCCACAAGGGGAACTTTCTCCCCCCTCGGGAGCGGCCAAGAGGGGGGTGTCCAAGAGGGGGGGGGGGGGGGGCAAATCATGACCGGCGGCATGTGCGCGGCCCAGCGGGGGGGGCCTGGGACGTAATATAAGATAAGAAGAGGCGCCATGAAACCTGAGGACCCGGTCCCCTCCAGGTAAAACAGGGCTAGGATCGGGACAAATCGCTCCAGAGCGTTCCTGAGCGCTCTGAGAGCGTACCGGAACGCTCTGGAGCGGCCGCGGCGCCCAATACATCCTCCAAACCCGCCGATTCTCAGAGATTTCGACTTATCCCGATCCGATTTCGTCCCGACCTTCGCGCGTCGTTTTACGGGGCCCGCCTCCCCCAGAAGGGGAACTCTCTCCCCTCGCTCGCCGCCGAGAGAGGCTGCGAGGCCCTTGGCGGGAAGCACGAGGGGCGCGACGGGGCACGGCGGACGAGGTGGTGTCCCCCGGCGAGGGCGGGGCCGACGGCCGCCGGGCGGGCGGGCGGGGGCG